CGGACTATAAAGTTTAATTAGATTCTGCTTCTTATATGACTAGAGAGAAAGGAGCATCCCTCCATTAACTACCACCATCACCACTGCTTGGCAGTGCAATCCAGCTAGGTGAGGAGGAGCCCTCTGTTTGGGGCAGAAGGTGATGAACACAAGCAGAGAGGGCAGCTGCATGAGTGACATAGCTGTTAGGATGATCAGCAGTTTTCTGCCTCTGCTGCTTCCCAGGGTTGAAAGTTTCCCACTCCCTCCAAGCCTGCAAAGCAGAGACTTCCATATTATTATCCCTGTCTGTGCTGATAAAGGAACAGTACATAACATCTGGAGCATCTGTAAGTATGACACAATTTACAGAATTCCCTCCTGGAAAGCTGCAGAGATGTAAACCAAAGGCTGTACTTAGTAACAAAATTAAGTCTTCCCTGTTGAAAAAAAATCTCTGTATTTTCACAATGCTGAGAGGTCTGTTACTGTTACAGTGACAACATCTGGGCCAGGACAGCTGAAGACAGATAGTCACAACACTGACAGAACTGCTAGCAAGAAGGAAAAGCAGTCCTGTCTGCATGCTGACCCTACCAGAGAAAGTTCCATTTTTAGGTAAGATGTTGACTAGTTAGTTATTCAGCTGTCTGTACCCTGTGCTTGTGCAATAAAGACAGGGCATGAGCTTGAGCACTTGAGTGTAAGTACTGTCCATATTTTTGTGTAGTTAGTACAGATTACCTGTGATTTTGGTGTGTGCAAGTTAGTACTCCCTCAGATAGCAGCTGAGAGAGGTCTGGGGAATTGCCTGGGCCAAAGACCTTTTACAAAAGGCAATATGGGTACTGCCATCCTGTTCCAGTGGTTTCATCTGATGATAGTGAGCTGTGCTGTGCCATGTAGCCTCAAACTCCGACCACATTCCCTGGTCCACTTTATTTTCTTGCACAAACATAATTACTGATAGCAATAAAAATATTTGGGATTATTGTTTTTCCAAGTAATAATTCTGATTTTCTTCTCAGTAGAGAAGATACAGCTCCTTTTTTGAAGTTGGTTAAGTGTGAATGCCAGGTCAATGGTAAAATCTTTATCAGAAGCAATACTTTACCCATACACAAGTCATAAACTACTAACTGCTCTTCACACAAAAATGTATGAAGAAGAGGAAAAGAGGCAGCTGTGGTAGCAAGACTGAACAATCATTTGGCACAACAACAGAACTGGTGTGCCATTCTCCACTGCATAAGGAACAATTAAATATATTAGAATTCCTTCCACAGGATAGCTAAAACACATGGCTGATAAAGGAAGTATGTCAGAAGTCTGTAAAATAACTGGACTGCAGAATTGTTCACCCTCTTTTCTAGAAACTGTTCAGTGGAACGTTCAAGATTTGAATGGGACACAGTGAGAATTACTTCTTCACAGAACATTCAGCTGGGCTGTGGGGTCCCTTGACAAATGCTGCATGTGCCAAAAGTCTGCCTGAGTTCTACAGCTGATTGGTCAAATTCATGGAAGAGAAGTCTGTCAAGTGATACTAATGTTGGAGGTGCCATCTCTGACTCAGGCCCACCTTGATATTCTGGTTGGTTAATGGGTGGATATTCTGGGAAATACCACAACAACAGGTACAATTCCCAGGATATCTATTGCTGGCCACTGTTGGAAACATGCTATGGTGCTAGACAGATCTTTCATCTCTGTCAATATGGCTGTATTATGTTCTTCCTTGCCTGCTCTGCTACTCCACTATTAAACCTGCCTGTGATCAGTTTTCTCCCAAATTTATTATACAACCGGGGTCATGGGAGACAAGAGACTCTCTTTCTCTGTCTTTCCTAAAGAAGATCAGAAAGGGGGGAGGGAAGGAGGGGGGTGGGGGAGACTCTCTCCCTTTGGTGGCTGGGAGTTGCAGGAAGACTAGAAAAGAGAAACCATTCAATCCACAGGAGAGCTGAGGAATTTGAAGAGCTCTGTGTACTAGGGAGTTTTCACCTGCTCCCTATTTTCCTTCTCTGTTCCTGAGCTTATACTGGCATTTGGATGAAGGGAGGAAGATATTACTCCCTGTACCAAACGGCCTCTCTTCTCCAGAAGGCTAATACATAGACATCAGTCTGAATTGAACTCCCAGCCAAGAGAGGGTTTAACCTTCTTCCAATGGGACAAAAGTTTGATTGGATTCACCCTCACTTTTTAGTAACTGTGTTACTCGACTTGTGATCAAAGAGCACTGATTGCTGGGGTCAGTGCAGCGATCTGAGGATGAAGCTCAGTGGTGTGTGATAAGAAGCCATATGAACAAGTGGTATCTTCTGCCCTCTAGGTCAGTGACCTTCTCCCAAAAACATTACCTTCAGATTTAAAGAAGGCCTGAACTTCTAAAGCTCTTCTAAAAGTTCTGAAAATGCTATACAGTGCATTAGAAATGAAATGGAAGAGTAACCCCCAAGTCTCACATTCCCAAATTTCCTAGCATGGATATGCCTGCCTCATGAACAATGTCAGGCATAAGTGTTTGAGTAAATTATACAAAAATAGCTATAGCTATACAGGTCAGTCTTGAACAATTGAACTCTAGCCATGGAAGAGCTACATGCTTGGAGAATCTCACCTTGGACAGTGGCAATATATGTTTATACCTGCAGCCAAACATTACAGCTGTCTCTCATCCCCCAGTACGGAACTTCTGACAACAGAACTTCTGAGAGTGTTAAGTCAGAATAATCTGATTTTATTACATTTTTCTTTTTAGAAAATGGTTACTTTTAGCATATACATGCTAGAAAGCTTAAATTAATTTTTTTTGTGTGTGTTTTTTCCCCCTAATCTTTCACAACCCTCTTTGAATCACAGGCACAAACAGCAGTTTGGGAAGCATGGAATTAAAGGCTAATTTTCTAGACCTTCTACAGTCAGCCAGACTCCATTTCTCTAAAATAAAACTTCCTTCCTAATCCTTCCAACTTCAGTACCTTGTTTCCTCCTTTTACAAGGGTTGCCCTTAGGCATTTCCGTCAGGAGGTGAAGAAGAAAAGCTCTTTGACACTAGCAGGATTACTTACTTCATTGCCTGGTGTGTTTGTCCTAGGCTTGCATTTCCCTATATTATTTCCTTTATTATTTCCCCTTTTTCCCATAGGAAGGCACTCTATTTTTGTGCTAGCATTGTGCCACATTTGCACTATTTTTACACCTCTGTTTTGGTGCTCCCAATCTTCATGAATTAAGGAAGTGGTGGTTGACTGATAGTAAGGGGTTTTTCTTCTCATTTTCTGAGAGATTTTCACCAGTGCTGTGGACTGCTCATCCAGGGGGAAAGCTAGTTACAGTAAATGCAGGGTGGTGTTTCTTTTGTTTGTTTTCATTTTTTAATTAGGTAATTCCTGTCATAAAATCAAATGATCTAACATATAGTGAGCTGATACAAAAAGTGAAATTCTGTGAGTAGGATGCAAGGTGGAGGCCACAATGACAGACAGAGAACACGCAATTATACTACAATTCCTTAGTGCACGTTTAGAAAGATCAAGACTCATCACCCAAATTTTCCACAAATTAGCTTAAAAGATGCTCCACATAAAGTATGCTAATACAGCAGTGAGACTTCTGCTCTTTCTTCTCTATGTGAGTCAAAGAATCTCTCCATTCCCTCTATCTTTTCAATCTTAGAAATGCCAGGAATGCAATATCCTGTTTCCTTTGGTTTTGCTGGGGGGCCTCGTGGGTGCTTTAGGAAATGTTTAAATGCTGAAACCTTAATAAAGTGCTCTGTTGTCCAAGAGAACCTCATTAGTCATGGACAATGAAAGACTATTAATAGCAACATCAACAATATGCAAACAAAAAGTCAGAGCAGTGTTTAAAAGCCCTTTCTTCTCTCAAATGCTAAAGATCTTACTTTAGTCTCATGATAGCCTCACTTTATTACTTTGCAGTCAGCTTTTCTGTTTGTAAAAGTGTAATTTCTATTGTAAACACCCCTTTCCAGAATTTCCCTTCTGCTTTTAGAAAGATACTTCTTTCAAGGTTTTTACAATCCATCTCAGAAAGGTAAAAGATCCTATTTTTGTCCCTTTGAAAAATTACAGTTCTCACTTTTGAAATAGTATGATTTTAAGAACTTTAGCCTTGAAATAACCCAGGGTAACAAGAGTGATTTCATAGTAAGTCAGGAAAGCATGGACTGTTAGGACTTTACTGCGGCTGAAACTTTCACAGTAAGAAAATATGATGTTTTACTACACATCCTTACTAAGGCTTCTGAATTGTGATGAAAAGAAACAGAACAGATTTGTTTCCAGATGAGAGTAAATGCAAGCACACTTACATTCAGACTACTTACATGGTAGGAAAAATTTTCTTTAAAAAACAAATGCTTCCCTGAAAAAATTAATGTTACAAACTTGATAAATGTGAATACATGTCAGGTAAACTCATTAGGAAGAATCAAAGTTAACCTACAAAGGAATAGTCCATACAGCAAAATGAAAACATAAAAGGGATGGGAAGGCCCAAATAAAATAGCTGCTTTAAGCAATTTACATTCTCTCTGCTGTTTTGTAATGCAATCAAAGCCATTAACTATATATAGCTCAATGGCTCTTTGGTCAGCAAAAAACAACTTAAAAACACAACCAAACCAATCCCTTCTTCTGCAATGCAACGTGTTTTTAATTAAGAAAGAATGCCAGGATGAAGGAGACCTTACAAGTTCAATAAGCTGAGACCATTCAATTTTTGGAAGTGGGGGAAAAGGGTTAAGGGTTTCATTGTAAACGTCACATGTTTTATGTTAATACAACTATTTAAGCCCTTTCTTGACTTTCTGATCATGTCTTTTGACAGGAAAGGGAGTATTTGTTTTGTCTGTTTTTAACTCTCAGGAAAGCAAACTAGAACTGTCCAGAAATGTCTATCCTTTATTCTGACCTCTGCCTTCCAAAAGGAGCAGTTTAGGCATGATGCATTTACCAGAGTATGAAATTCCCTTTCTAATGCAAAAATCTTACCTGGGTAATCATTCTTGTCTACATCTGAGTCTCCTCTTAGAGTGAAGCCAAATCCCGAAGGCATGGACTGTGAGGCCCAGGCTCCACTGAGAACCTGGGAAGGGTTAGGGTTTAACCCATTACTGTATCCATTGTAAATGAGCACTTTCCCTCTCCTGTCTTCTCCTGCAAATGGTGCACCAATAGCAATGTCTGCAATGCAGAAACAACCACCAACAACAAAAAAATAGGATCAAAAGAATGGACACAATTAAAAAATTAACTCCCTGCATGAAAATAGACTCTAATTGCTTATGCTACAAACATGCAAGAACTTCATCATTTTGTACTTCTGTATGTATTCTAGTTTAAAGGCAAATATACAAAATGTTAGCAGTGTTTCTTCTGGGTCAAACTTTCATGAAAAAAGTTTATAAAATAACCCTATGAAGAGGTTATTTAATTATACTTAATAGCCAGTCCACATTGGATTCCTCTACCTATTTTCAGGGCAGTTAATTAGCTTTAATAAAGCAAGATCTAATGAATGCCTGCTTCTACTTTAGTATTTTTAAACAGGTACAAATTTTCTTTGATTTCCCCTATCACCTTTTAATAAGGAGCAGCTGTTAGATAAAACTAATTTTCTTTTTCCAGATAACATATCCTACACAGACAAAAAATTTCACCCCCTCAAACATTCAATGCTTTAGAATGCAAAAGAGATCATTAGAATATCATGTTTTAATCTATACCAATTCATCATTTTATTGAGAAATAGGAATAATACTGAGTCAGGAATTTTGCAGGAGGTCTTAGGCACTACGGAATTAAACAGTTCAATCCTTAGAAATGAGGTGCCATATCCAAAAAGCAGAATTCACAGTGCTTTTCTTCATTTCTGTGCATGGGATGTGGAGGCAATATTGTCTAAATTGAGATCCAACAGCTGTTCTAGCTGAGCTAGCCAATAGGAAACAGTAGAGGATATGTATCTATAGCTCTCATTTTTGGGTTCTCATCTAGGAGCTGATGCTGGACTTCTTTATTAAACTTGAATTGAGCACCTGGATTCTGTAGCTTCACTCTAAAGGCAGAAGTGCACCAAAGCTCTGTGACTGGCATATTCAGTTATGAAGCAGAAGACTCTGGCTTTAGAGTCTTAGTCTTTTTACAGTGACAGAGAAAAGCAGACATGTCTTCTGCCTACCTCAGCTGAATTCTGGAGAGAAGGGAGACCAACACTGCCTGCTTAGAGTAGCTGAGGGTATCTGCTATTGCTCCCAGGTAGAAAACAGGACATTCTCCACCATGAGGTTCAGCTGTGCTGAACTCCATGGTGGGATTCCAGGATAAGTCAGTGAGGGTACTCTCAGCAGTCACAGTCCAATGGCTTCTACCCACAGAATTGTATTCATATTTTGTACACTCTGAACCCCAGTGCAATTCTATGACTCCTGACATGAATGATCCCTTGCATAGCAGCCACACAATGAGGACATTGGCCTAGAATCTAGTGGCTACAGCCCTTGCAGTAATTAATTTTTCCTTAGTTCATTAATTTTTCATTAGTGGGACAGCTGTTCTAAAAGCTACTGTGCAAAACAGCCCTTCCAGGAAAAAACTTCTGGGTGTTTTAGATGCAGAGATACGTGATTTGAAGATCGCTAACATTCTGGAAATAAGTAAGGAAATGCATGCAGGGAAAACCAAGATGCTACTGATCATGTCTAGGAGGATAACTCTAGATGCTCAAGGTATCCCAGCTTTCTCAGGTAATCAAGCAGTTAGTTTAGTTGTTATGTTTGCTTAAACGTAGACTGCCAGTTAACTTACATGAACATTTTGTTGTGTGCATGTGCTATAGGCATTTGAAAGAACCCAATTATGCACCTGGTTTTCTTAGTACTTAAGTACCAGTGGAAGGCTGACTCCAAAACAGTACTTCTGTACTTGCCCAATTATTTCATTGTTGACAAAATGCTCCATGTACTGAGCCTCATTGAATTACCAAAATTTTCCAAGCATTTGAGGAGAGAAAAACTCAGCTTTCAAAAAAATGAAACATCTTAACTAAGTACCTAAATATTATTATAGTTAACAAAAGGTATTTTTATTCAAAAACACAAACTAATACTTAGTAAAAAATCACACTGTAGTCAATATGACTGCCCTCTTATCAGTCAGCTTTTCATGATTTGGGTCTCAATATCCTTTTCATTAGCATTAGGGTGAATTCTGATGAATTTCAACTATGTTACAAATCCTTTTCCAGTACAGCACAGACACAATATTTGCTGCTTAGGCATTTGTAATTTCAGTGTTAGAGATATACTACATTGCATACAGATTACCATTATATCCATCTTGATTGAGATCTCCAAGGTGTGTGATTGCACTGCCAAATCTACCAAACACTTCAGTGCCTGTCAGAATTTGTGCATCTTGGAAGAGGAATGCATTTTCTTGCAGGTACAGATAAACTTGTCCAACTTCTTTAGGCTTGCTCTCAAATTCTCGTTCCATAAAAAGAGGGGCACCAACTAGGATATCATCTAAACTGGAACAAACAAAAAACAGTGTCACTGAGAGACTGAGTGTAAACAACACAGTTTATACATTTTCTAAACAAGAAGCCAGTAATTATCCTTCAGTCAGACTAACTGAGGGAAGAAGGCACTTCTGGAGTCCTAGTTCAAACACTTGGTCAAATCATGGTCAATTAGGGAAGGCTGTCCACAGCTATACTCAATTCAGTTTTGAATATCTCCATGGATGGAGACTCCACAACTTCTCTGGGCAACTACTTCCAGTGTCTGATCATCATCACAGCCAAAATGTTTCTTTCTAGGTTTAAACGGAATTGCTTGTACTTCAATTCATGCCCACAATAGACAGCGAAAAATTACACTTTGCAATTGATGATGCCGAATTCAGGAATCTAAGAGTGAACCTGTGTCACTAGAACTAATTCTGTAGATCTGTTTTACTAACAGTGCCAGTGAGAGACAAATTTTAGTATTATCAGTAAGTGACTAAAAGAAAAAAACCCTGCCACTTTAAAAGAGATTTTTGAGTAACATACATGAAACACAAGTAGAGCATCAATTAATAGAGAATGCCTCATCATTTATTCAAATAGAAAGTGGGGGACAAAGCAAAAGCTCTATTTCTGAAAACACTTCTGTTCAATATTAGGTACACAAGTAGCTGCAGTGCTCATATAATTTTCTGTACTGAGTATTAAAGAGAAAGCACATAATCAAATTATTAAAATAAGATACTTAGAGGAAAAAGTCTTTCTGTCTATCATACTACCCCAAGAAGAATCAGTAGAAGAACACAAACCAATGAAAGCATATTTTGCATGTTGTTGTTCTAAATAGTCAGGTTTCAAAACATGTTACCAACATCTATTTAGAGGGAATAAAAGATCCTTCAATGAACTGTGAAGAATAAAAACAAGTGTGATTGACAGACTCATAAAAAGCAGAAGTGTTCTTAATGGATTATTATTCTGAGATATTAAATGATAGTATCAGATTAATTGCTGAAGGTTACTCAAGGCCATATAATAAAATAATTTGTATTATATTCAGTGGATATTGATCATCTGTATTAAGGAAGTCTGTTACCGCAAATAGCTATTACTTGGACTACTTGATCCCAGAATATTTAATTTAGAAAACATTTTCTCTTGCGCTAATGTGAAATTTTTTTCAAACTTTGTAAAATTCACAGGAAACTTTCTATTCTCAATTCATCATATTTCCAATATGAGACTTCATCTATTAGCAAACAAAATAGTAAAATTGCACTACACTGTTTTTCCTAATCCTGATAGAAAAAACCCTGTACAATTCAGCAGTAGCTCAGCTATTATTTTACCACAGATGTACACTATGATTCTAAGATACACACCATAGAATTTAGCACAGAATATTTAATCTAGAAAAAAAAAATCTCATTGTAAAACTTACACATTATATAAGTTGTGACAAAATACTTCTAGGAATGTTATTTTTCCATAAGCAGTATGTTTCCATAAAGGTAAGTGCAATTCCAAATGTCAGGTCAGTTTGGCACAGCTGTCCTATTTTTTATGTTAGATTTTCCCCTGTGGCATAAATAACTAAAAAGGAAGGAAGCAGATGCTGACTTGACATCAAAGGTGGGATTTTTCCTTTCACACTAAACATTAAAAGTCATTCTCTACTAATGGAAGATGTTTGTGGTTGGGACAGAATATCAGCTGAAATGGTTGCCAGGAAACAATAGCAATAACAAAAAGAAATCATGAATGCTCTTTTAAAAATAAGTTATTTTACATATGCCATGCACTAAAAGCATTACACAGTAACACTATCATCAATTACTATTTCAGTGCCTCACACTCCAGATATTCCCAGTACATTGGGACCTCATAGAGTTAAGTGCTGTAGAAACCATGAAATAAAAGATGAGCCTGGCTCACTTGAATATTTTACAAATGAGCAATTTTAAGACTAAAGGAAGATTATTTTAGAGGTGAAAAAGAACCAAATCACTAAGAGTCAGAAAGCTCCCAGTACACTGATGTAAAATAAATATATGCTCAGATACCTTTAAAAACCTTGTCCATAGAGCAATATCTAGAGTGCCTAAAATGGTGACAAGAGAGACACAGACTATCTATTGCGTACTGAAACTCTCTAAGCAGAAGCCTAACCCTGAACACAAGATTCACCAGGTGAAACAGAAAGCAAGCTCCAGGAGCTGGAGCTTGTTGAACAGGGAGAACAGCATCCCAGCTACAAGTACACAGTACTGGGTTATTTTTCTGGTAAAATTTCAACTTTGCTAAAATGAATGACAATGACTGTATAAAACGCATGAACAGTCCAGGGAGAAGGGACCCGTATCTGGTAGCTAAGATGGCTCATCTTCTGATGTACTGAGGGACAGGTGGAAGGAAGGCAGACTTCTAATACACTTTTTTCTCAACTGGTTATGGGCAGCAGAGCCACCTGGAACACCCACAGCACTTGGTGTGTCTCCCCTCCAGGTATTCATATGTATTGCCCTCACCAAGGCCGTCCTTTCCTCACCCTCTTAAATTTACCCCCATCTCATTCAGAGCTGAGCTTTGTAGGTCAAAGCACACTGCTTCAGCAAGTCCTCTGCAAGAGGGAACTCTCTTTTAGGCAATTATACAATTTGGGATTAGAGTTTAGGGGGTTTGTGCTGTCACAACAGTCTTCTGTAGCTAGAAAGGAAGGATTTGTCAGCTACCCAACTCTCTCTGATCCTCATTTACTTTCTTCTGGCTCCTCTTCAAGTGGGTGAAATAAGCAAACAATTGCTGTTTACCATACTTTATACTCAGTTCTACCTCCCAGCTTCTACAACTTAATTATTTAGATAGCAAGCAGTCAAGGGGGTACGAGGGGTGTGTGTACTTGTTGGGTTCTAAGTGCCTATGTGATTAGTATTGTGCATTTTGCGGGTGAAAGAGGATGTTGCCTTTGGCCATTTCAATTGGCCTTTTAAATTGGAGGAGTTTGTATTTACAAAATTGAGAGTTCTGAGTCAAATTCAGTTTGATGTGATTACTTCTAAAAAGCCATATGAGTAAATAAAAGCAAAAGCCCCTGGTCAGTAATATTAAACCATGAAATGCAGTCCAGTGTGCAGTGATACTTTGAACTGGAATTCAAGAATAGATTAACGCAATAATATAGAATTTAATAACTATTCATTAGATTCCATTTTTGCACTAAGATGTTAGAGTTAACATAAATTATATATTAGTTTTTGCTCCAAAACAGAAAAGTAATCAGCCAGTATTACTTCCCTTCTGATTAAAAAAAAAATATTTAAAAAGCACAAAGCTGACCACCTGCTGAGATTGTGTGCCATTTCTTTGTATCCTGCAGAGTAATAAAAAGCAGGAATATGGGAAATGTCAAGAGGTCAAAGTATAACTGTGGAAAGCTTTGATATAGGCCAAATAAAAAAAACAGTAAACAGTTTATTTCACTATTTTTATTGGACTGATTCAGCCTCAATTGAAAGTGCTCTCTTTTTCTCTCTTTACTAGGAATGTAGCCTGTAAGTTGATGGCAAACTTGATTTATTAAGTTTCATTGTGGATTTCTCATTATTAGCAATGGGCAACTAAGGGATAGTTCAACAGTATCCTTAATTTCACTGTTCTGCCTACAATCCTGATGTGGTGAAGATAAAACTGCATGGGCCCAGCCCACAGAACTGCTGGGCCAGATCTACAGAACATTTTTTCCTAAGATGAGCCTAATCTTGGAGCCATATAATGAGTCTTAATACAGCAAAGCATCATTCCTAATAATCTTGTATTACTTTTTTCAGCAAATGACTTAATTGGGTTTCTTATACTTATGAGGTCACCACTAACTCATCTTTAGCTGAATAAAATACCTAAGTGAATTTGAAGTGTTAATTTCCCTTTTGCCTTTTTTCCCTCTTTTAGTCTTCCTTTCAGATAAATGTTTCCATTGATTGCATGTGCAAACCAGAAAAGACAGACTACATATCTAATCAGACATGTTTATCAAGTAGAGCTTTTTGTGTTTTGTTTTCTGTGGGATGTTTGGATCTCAGGAAGAGTCTTTAGATTTCTTTTAAGATATAGACTGGGAGACCACACAGGCCTCAACAGCAGTTTGATTATATTATTGACATAAACTGTGGTTTTAGAGGTACACAGAAAGTATAAGACCTGCCAAGTAACCCTAGGGTTAACAGGAAATAACCTGCACAGGAAATAGTTTGGTTCAGTGAGAAGTTAAATAATAAGTTCCCTGAAAGTCTAATGAGTGTCTGTTGCACCTTAGATGAATGTTCCTACACCCTTTCACATTTGTAATACATCAGTAGGACTAAATTATTTCTGATTCTGTATACCATAAAAACCAGAATTTTCAAAAGCTGTGATACTATGACAAAATTTAATCTCAGAACCTTGGAAAGATTTGAATACTATGAAGCCACCATGGAAACTGCTGAAGCTTCTGTTTTGTTGTTGTTGGGTTTTTTTGTAACTGCAATAACACTTTACCACCTTGTTACTTTTCTCTTTGCCTATAAAACTCAATCTTAAAAGGGTCACTAGTCACTGATGAGAAGAAACGACTTAGCCCAGAAAAATAATTTCATGCACCATGTTTAAGCACTTAATAAGAAAGAAATTATCACAAGAAAAAAAAATGATGTAGGCATATCTGAAGCATTTTGCAATAAGCAAGAGTACACTACATCTCTAAATATCATCCTGGCTCATTTTTGTGCAGACTTCCAAGCCTCTGAGTTTCAGGGATCTTTATCTCCTTGCTAGATAGCTACAATAAATATTCTCTTACTAAAGTCCTCTAAAATATTTCATCAGACTTTACATGACTTGAAAATTAATAAAAGTTCTGTTCAACAGAGCCTGAAACCCCCAAGTATTTTAGGGATCCCCAAGTATCATGACCCTGGGAGCAGAGCATCATTATCCCTCTGACTCAAACAATGCCTGCTGTAACAACTCTGGGACACAGACAATTGCTGGTCCTTGAGATGATAAAAAGGGATGCCCAACCAGCAGGTACTGGAATGAGGAAAGAAGAACTGATGACATTAGAAGGCTTTTAAAATTGAGAAGTGAAGCTATGGATGAGAAAATTTTCCTGTATGTGAGAATAGGAGAATGAACTTCTGACTTTCATCTATCTCTTCCCTGTGGGAGATAGTGCTGTTTATTCACTGCTTTTCTACCTAGATCTGTTTCCTAGGACTCTGGACACTCTGACACACTGATTTAATAAATATTCAGGAAGATAAACTCACCCAAACTAGGCTTGCAGATACTCATGCCATTGTGACTGCACAAAGTCTATGTGAAAAATTAAAATTAGAGAAGCAGAGAAGCCAAGAGAAGCATTTTGAGGTATGAAGCACCTGAAAACCTACATTTCTTAACAAATATCAGTCATTGCTTAATGCTCAGTGGAGCTGAATGTATTTGGTGACCTACCCATCATTGTTAACATCAGATACCGCAACTGTGTACCCAAAATAGGATGCCATCTGAAAATAAAAAATAACAGATAGGTTTTCAAATTTGATATAAAATGTAAAGTTTTTTACTGATAATCATCTTTGTTTTCATGGTCATTATTACAAAAAAAATTATATATTCTTGAAATTATATTAAGGAAACCAGATGTGCTAGAGATACAATATTTCATCACATAGTTGTTTGGCATTACCTGCTCACCAGTGAAGTTCTGGATAAAGGTCAAGTCAGAAGAATTAATAATTGAGACCTGGCAACAGAATAATAAGGAAAGTTTCAAGCACACGTGGAGATGCTACAGCATGACATCACTGCAAAAGAATTTGACACACTAAAACATGGTCCAAGAAAAAGCAGTTCTTTTTCTGTCTCACCACAGGTATCCTGTATGATCTTGAACAAATTGCTAAGATTTCATGACCCTCAGGTTCCCCATGGAAAAAACAGGGAAAAGTATTTCCCTTCCTTGCTGGACACTGAACAACAGCAAATCACAGACTATCAACTAATCAGTGACTAGGCATGAAAACGTGAACTTAAAACATGAAGAATTATACACAGATATAGAAATATATATACATACACATAAACACCTTTTTCCTAAAAATTCTGCAAACAAGTCCCAGAGACACAAGGAATTTGGGGTCCACAAAACTAGAGAATATGTCTGTGGCTGTGAACTCTTTTCCCAGTCAGGTTACTTGTGGAGCCTTTTGTCCACAAGTTAACAGCTGTATTCACAAACGCATATTGTTTTCTCCCTTCACTTCTAACTGCATATAATGACTCTTTGCATCTGCATTTCAATGTATACACTTACAGCACTGAAAGTAAACAATGGGTATGAATAATCAGAACTTAGACTCCTCTGCACTGTGGACACAGCACTGCACAAAAACATGCTAACCTATGGGTGAGCTTAGGTGTGATAACACTCGATGGGTATAGGGATACTAGTCAGACTCAGGGCATGTAATTGTAATTGTGATTGCCCAGTGAAAACAGACTTCAGAAGGGACTAAGTGCTTACCATTCAACACTCAAAGCAGTAAAGGCATTTCAACCCAGCCAGATAAGCCTGAGGGTGAATGTCAGTGGCAGTTTTACCTGATTTGAAAGTTTTGTATGAAAGAGACAGAAAATATAATGCAGCATTTAACCCTGCAAATTCCATAATTGTCTTCTCATTACAAAAATTATAAAATGAAGGTCCAGTACATACATAGCCAAAGTTCTGTGCTCCCCTTGGGACTCCAGCAACCAACTCTGAGAAAGTAAATGATCAACAGTCAACTGGATTTGCAATCTGAGTTGTGCATGCAATATGTATCCCACACCACCTAAAAGTTCCTTGATATATAGGTTAAATCCCTTAGGATTTTGATTTGTGATCTGAAACACCTGTAAATCACTACAAGCCATCATTTCATAAGACTATAGCATTCATTTGGTTCATTAAATTGCACAAAACATTACACTCTGACTTTTGAATACATCCATCCATGGATCTCTTTCTATTTACCGCTGCTTAGCATAGCACAGTATAATACATTTCTTGGTACAATTCAGCTTGCTACCTGACAGCTGTGTATTGATGGAATAAGAATTAGTTATGGCATCACATACTAGAACACAGAAGTTAAATAGAACTGTCCTTATAAATACTTCTTTTCTTTTTGCCTACCAACAGTTTATCTCATCCATTAGTTCACCTGATGCCATGTAAGTGCTTGACAAATTCTGCACATTCTATCTAAAAGCATTACAAGGAAATTTTTGTGAGTGGCATTGGAGGGATACACTGAATAAGAACATTAAACATTAGACCTAGCTGCCTTCTATGAGTAATTTTGCTCAATAGTGAAATCTTAAACAACTAGTAGAAAAAATGAGTAAAAAAAAAAGAAGGAAAAAGCCAAGTCCCAGCCTGAAGTCTTGTGATCTAAACCTTGGCTCATTAGGATGTCCACATCAGAAGACAGCAGCAGGAACTTCAGATAACAGAGCAACTCAGCCACCTGCTTGGACTGACATTGCCTTCCTCTATTCCTCACTAGGATCATATACTCCCCCCTGACTGGATGTGCTTGCTCAGGGGGCAGTGGAAGTACTAATGAAAGCCTGAACATGACACAGGATAAATCTCAAGTCAGCCAACTATGCAATACTTTTGTGCCAGTCATTCGCATGACATACTGATTCAAAAATCATCCATTATAAAACTTTGAGTACACATTAAAAAAGCAGCCAAAAATGTAGCCTTCCATTACCAGGGGTACCTCTTTTTACACATTATAGTGTTTGGCTCAAAATTGTGTGGTTTGTTATCTATTTTTTGAATCCTTCATAATGCAGGACAGGCAACTTTAACTTCAGAGGGATTAAGCAGCAGCAGTACTGGAGCACTGGTTTACTTGTGGAAATGCACTATGTCCCTATGGCTTTGTGAGTCTGGACTACAGAGCAGTTCAGCTGCTCAAGAAAGCCACCCCTTACAGAATTCAAAGTTTTGTGTTACTTTAATTCTGTTATGTTTTACTGTCGAAGGAAATAATTGTCTCTGGGAATACTGAGTACAGATAGCTTAAATCTCACCAGTGTTTCAAATGTATATTAGGTATGTTCCCTGTAGAGACCCAAAACAAGGAATTTAGTAAGTGCATGGCCATATGGTTTTCATTCAAGTACACAGATGCTTACCTTGTTCAGAATCCCCAGTAAATTCCCCGGCAGCCACTGAGTAACCTGTTTAAAGAGAAATTAAAAAAAAAAACAACCCAAGAAACAATTCTTTCAATTCAATAAACAATTGATAAACAATTTCTTTCAAAAAATATGCAAGGACTATCCGATCTGTATGTTCAATTGATCTGCTGAATGCAAGTTTTCTAACAGTATATTAAAACTGTGTGGAAAAAAGGAAAATTGTTTATCACACTACTACGACTAAATTAATGGTAGGTTTGAATGTATAAGAAATTGATTCCTCTTCTCCAAAAATGAGCTTCTACATCAATACTACTTACTAATTCATCTGAAAAAAAATCCCAAGTTCTATGGTGTTTTGCCCTAATAGCTATTGATAAATTCAGGTCTTTATTATTGTACTGTAATGTGTGAGTGTCCTGGCCGAGCTTTATATGGAAAACAGATTTCCAAAGATGCACCTCCTGGAACTTTAGTAAACCTGTGAGATAGTTACTACTATCAGAGTAAAGAAAGACTTCTGGATTGTATCAGGGACGTTAATTTCAAATCTATGGGAAACAGTGCAAGGACATCCCTTCACATTCCACTGAATCTTTTCTATAACTGTGTGGAAAAAAAACGTGCCTTACATGCAGAGACATATGAGATACAAGAACATTCTTAGAGATCAGTACTAATAAGTACATAAGGAGCCTTCTTTTCTATTAATTACATAGTAGCTTCAAATTGACTTTTGTTATTGCTTACTTCAATTGTATCTTTTAAATATCAGTGAGAATAAATTGGATATGTGTAGTACTGTACAAAATACCACAGAATTGAATTTGAATTTATCTAATAAAAATCGAAATTGTCTTTAATTACATTAAGTTCAATCCATCATCATTATTTAAGATCAAATAATAAGAACTCTAACAAGTCATTTAAGATCTCAACCTTCAAATCTTGTTGCTGTGCATCATTTTAAGAATGTTAGTAATCTTGCTGAAGTAACCAGCAAAATACTGATTTGATGTTGTGCTTGAGGCAAAGCATGTTCAAATCCTCTCACAACTGGGACAATAGTAATGCATGGCTTGTTTTCATATTTATGTAAGACTCAGCCTTGGTAACTCATATAGAACTCAGCTTACCCATGTAATTGTCGTCATATGAGGGTGGGGCCACTCCTGTTTGCTTCTCTCGTGCTAGTTTCCTCAGAATATCCTTGAAGGAATAATTTGCAATGATGTCCGCAATGCTTGCAGTAATTACCTGACCTGGATTCAAACAGCTTCATAAATGAAAGGGACATAAGAGAGGGCCAGATTCTACAGAACAGGGCTAACAGAACACCAGAACAGAGCAGAAAGGATGCTAGTACTGCACAGATGCAAAGAGTAGATAATTTCTCTCAAGCTTTCTACATTATTACCCTGGAAGTCTCAAGAGTAAACATAAATCATTAAAACAAGGTACTGAATCGTTATTGAACCATTACAAAAACACCTTCAGACCCATTTCAATCTACTAATTCAAACTAAAGTCCCTGCACTGTACAAATGTACTAGACCAATGAAAGCAATTTCTCAATGGAGAATTCAAAACTATGAATTTCCTACAAACACAATGAATTAAATCATCTTTAAAAAAAATTGCAAAAACACACATCAAAGAAGCTGACAGTGGGCAAGCTGGTAGGCAGAGGCTGGGAATCAGCTACATCATACATGTAAGAACAGGTTAAAACAAAAATAACCTCTTCATCCTTTACAAAAAAAACTTCAGGGTTTTTCTACACAAGAAACTACATCTTGCAACCTACAGATGCATTTGTGATGCAACAAATGAAGTTAAAATCCATGTATATAGCTATAAAAGGTTGTGTTCAAAAATGAAGAGTAACAAACATTTTTAGAATAGTACATTTGCTCTAAAAATATTGGCAATTTTTAAACCTGAAATATTTCTAGGGGAAAATCCAACATATTAATTAAATTACAAATATACTAAAATACCAACATAAAACCAGTTATTTGCATTTGTTTAACTTCCTATACAATCCACAACCTGGATTTTCATGGCTTATTTTTTGTGCTCAGTTGCTTGCTAAGCAATTCTTTTGATTTACATTTGTTGAAAATAATATCAGACTGGTTATCTTAAGCCAAGAGAACAGTGGAAATCTAGAACAATGATACTTTCTTGTATCATTCAAGTGAAACTTTCTGTTTCACTTCTTAGATCCGGTTAACCAGCCAGATGAACATACCTTGCCAATAAAAACTACCGGGCCCGCCTACTATCAGGTCTCCATTCTACAAAAAGCAGAATTAAATAAAATTACAAAACAAGACAGCAGAATTTAGCATGCATGAGAATAAAGTAATTTAAATGACCAAAATAATATATCAGAATCATGATAAAAGAGAATAGCCATATTCAAGGAAAGGATGTAGGAGCATGGATGTGCAGGAAAATCCACAGTTTAAAAAAATATAAAATCCCGCTATGCATCTGCACTTGAATGAAAGGCATTTATTTTACCACTAATATAACATTTCAAAAATTGCTGCTTATTTGTAACAAAACAAAGCTAACAGAAAAGAGGGTGCTCAAATTCAATGAAACAACAGTAATGTTTTAGAGATAATTATACAATGAAGCTGCAGAATGCTCAAAAGAGTGGCCATGGTCAAAGTTACCTGAAGCCTTGGTGCTGTAAATAATGCCCCAGATAAAAACAATTGCACAAAGTTTATCCTTTCTCCCACAACATTGTTACTGGACCCCCTTGGTATTTAAGAAAATCTAGTTCCCTCCCTTAAGTACTTTCATCCCCACATGAGAATGGGTTTGCTCAATGACTAGTCTGCCACCAAAAGCATTCTTATATAGGCTATTTTAACTTTTTAAAACTAGTTGGTGCCTGCCCCACTGTTTCCTGAAAGTCAAGTAAAGCATTTAAAGTGGGACAGACTGAGATAGAAGCACATAGAAGTTTTTGCCTAATTATCTGTTAAGATAGACTGAGACAAAGTGGAATGATGCAAAGACATAAGCAGGTCCTGATTATTTATTTTTATTAATGAAACAGTAAAGTCTGAAGCTTGAAAAGGAGGAAAGAACTTGCAACAGCTTCACAAAACTTTCCATATCCAGCAGCATGGATATAAACTCATGATCACTGAGACAGCACTTCAATACTGCAGATATATCATAATGACACTTGATCAAAATACTTCAGAAGCAGAATCTCACCTTGTAAAAATCTAAGCTGAAACCTGCTTGACAAAAGCCTTGTCCTTCAGGATCTGCATTGCCTGCAATTATGAAGGTAGAAGCATTTTATTGATTTTACAGTGCATGTGGAAGATAACACAGATACTTATGGAGCTGTAATGCTATGAAGTGTAATACTGCCAATATATGTGAAAATATGTATTCTTTTTTAGAAGAGGCAGAGCAAATCAAGACCTACAAAATCCTGATCATGCAGTCCCTTGTGAACATTTTGAAAAATAGGACCTGCTACTTGGGACTATCTCCTCCCACTGCCAGGAAAGGACTCTTGAAACAACTATCAAGGATTCAGTTTTAATTTAGCTGGACATAAAAAGTAAAAAATTCAAAAAGATTTTAGAATGCTCATCACAGTCTGATCTGTCAGAAAAATCAGTGTTTACTATGGTGTTGTCAAAAAACCTTGATACAGTGTAAGGGTCAGGATGGGTACATGGAAAAACAAACTTCCTGCTTCTGACTACTTCTATTTCTATTCTCCAAATCCTTATATAATTGGGCAAAGTGCGTTGTCCTACATCTTATGCCAATCCTATGTGTGCCAGAGTGCCCAAAGACTGCAGGATTGTGTAACTGAGAGCGGGAATGGCCTCTTGAACTCTCTCTTCAAATGACATAAGCCTTTGCCAAAGCCCCAGTGAGACATCAGTAAATACATAAACCAGATCTGAAGGTCACCATTTCTTACAGATTCAGCTTCTTTCTGTGGCTGTCTGTGCAGAGACAAGGATTTAAAAAGAAGACGCAACAGAATTCTGTTTAAAGCCCTACTACAATAGGCATATAATGCTGAACAAGATGAATGACTGATAATAACCTAATACGCAGTATTTTCTGCAGACTTCTAGGTAGCTGAACCTGGTTCAAAATATACATGTGGTATATTCCTCTATTCTCCAAGAAGTAAGGCCCAGAGACAGCTACCACATCCTCAGAACAGCAGTGTTAATGTGCGTGGTTTTCTTCCATGCTGGAAGTTCTTCACAAACGAGCTCTTGTGGATGATACTGGCATGAGTGATGATATAGGCTTGTGTGGTTCTATGCAGGGTCTGATCTTCAAATCATGACCTTGTGATGAGACATTTATACTCAGTATGAATAATTGGTTTAATATGCTGTCTGGTTCTTATCTAGATCTGTTTGCTATGTTTTAAAGCCACAAAAATTGAACCAATTATAGCTCATTACTATAACTGCACACACTTAACTTACTTAGTTTTTCCTCTTTCAATTAATTATACAATAAAGCATCCAATAGTTTAATGTTATTTTTTCCTCACACCCTCATTCAATGCAATAACATCATATAGTAACCTTCATTCAATCAAGACTCAGTGGTGTGAAGACTGAAAGAATGAAAACACGCAGTGCAAAATCAATTCCTTCAACACAAGACTGTTCATATTAATACTTACTGTTACGACAAGGTGAATATTCAGCATAGGCACTGAAGTTCTGAATTGCTACATAGCAGGTGCCAACAGGGTCCTTCTCAGGGCTGTCTTTAAGGGTTCTCCAATGATACAAAGGAGCACAAGCCTGTAAAAACAGAAATATGAAACCGAAAACATACATACTTTCACACACTCTTGCATCTGGCAAATGTAGTTTTTAATAGGCTGTGTACAAGGATTCTCTCTGGTACTATATCTTTCATATAGCAATGATGACTAGACACTGAGAGAAGAAAATGCAGGATCACTGCTTCATATAATTTCATTATAACTTGAAAAGCACAGTGATGTTTTACTTACAGCCCTTGGCCTCCCTAAGACACAAATAAATCCTTCATTCATGTCCTGACTTGTCCTGCTCTTTCAATTACAAACCTGTCTGCCTCTGACAAGGTATTGCCACTATTTACAATATTGTATTAGCCTTCATTCTGCAATCAGTACTAGCTGGATGAACCACAGTGCTACTCAGAGCTTACTACCAGCCAGAGCTTGGGGGCAATGGCTTAAGGAACAGGGACACTTCACACAGCCCTGCCTAGGAAACCTTGCATATTGAAACAGAGAGCAAAACCAGAGCGCAGCAAAGAGGAGTATGTGTCCCATGGGGGTGATTTTAGGTACATCTGACATCAAGCCAAGTGGATTGAAACAAGAACAATATGATAATAAACATTTACTTAATGCAGTTTACTATTCAATCTGTAGCTTAAAAAACCAGTTCCTGACAGTTTAATGACATTTTCTCTTAGCCTACAATGCTTAACAGAAAAAGCTTTCCAGCTTTGCTGTCCAATTTTTTTTTTGCCTGAAAAGTGTTGACTACACCTCAGCTGCCCCAAATAAATGAAGTTTGGTCAGTACAGACGCAGCATGTCTGTTGGAGATGAGTTTTACTAATCACTTGATTAAGATTTCACAAATGGTCGTAAAGAAGCATTTTATTTCAATCTGTGAATTGTTTAGGAGAGTACAGAAAATGAAAAATGTTTATATATTTTTAGAAATTTTTAGAATTTTTATGTTTACTTAGCCCTGTTAACAGAATAGGGTGATGATTTACTTGCCCAGTTTCATTTCAGAATATTTCTGTAGGTCAGTATAAGGGAGATTCAGTATAAGGGAAAGAATTTCCTTTCAACACTTCCTCCCTTATGATTACTTTTAAAGTAGCAATTGGAAGTTTTAATCAAATCCCAAGGTAAATTTTTGTTTGGTAATTGTAAAAACTAGTAAAACTAATGACCAAACCAATTATTCTTATCACAATTACTTCAGTGCTGTTTTTAATGTAAACCTCAATGCAATTGGAAATATAAAATGTATGTGCATAAGCAGCATCACTGGCATTTTACTAGGCAATAAAGAATACCTGCCCACTGCTGGGCCTCTATCCATACAGGTAAAACACTCAGTGAAACTGGAGAACACACACTACATTTTGATAGCCATCTTGATTTGGAGCTTTCTTATCAGCTGTTTTTATCAGCTTTTTTTACAGCTGTTTCGCCATGACTATGACATAGCTCTTCAAAACAATGTAAATGTGACAAAAGAGGTAAGTGTTTTCCTAACTGAACATCAACAGAGGTCCTTTGCTTTCAAAATATTTCATTACATTCAAATACATGCAATTTCACTATATTCTGTATTTAACATTCCAAATATATCTTCATAATACCATTTTATAGCAGACAGCTATCACTTCCTGTGTATCTCTGAAATATGTCCTGTTATATTATCTGCTAAAAGAATATCATTTACTTTCAAAACAATATGACATTCTGCAGTTTTCACATGGCAGCAGAATCAGTCTGCTGATCTTCACTCGATCAGTTCAACCTGATTATATAGGTTCCTTTTGTTTTTTGAATTATATACATCCTCTGTTTTATAAATCATGCATAATCAATGAGTTATTTCCATAATGTACACATAGAAAGCTATTAAATGCATACATTTGACAAAAATAAACATTATTTCCAAATGAATATCAAATGCATAAGACTTACCACAACTTTCTCTTTATGAGCTTTGACTGTTGCCCCAAACCACTGATTTGTCTTAAATTCAATAGGTTCCCTGGTGCCATTGACTTTAATTTTCCTGTTGTCTGATAAAGAAAGAAGCACTATGTTGACAGCTTATTTATAATACAAGTGAACAGATTAACGGATATATTACATTGCATTCACTTGTCATCCAAGCCATTTTTATTATCATTTAACCTTTTCACAAAACCTCTGGTCAGCAGAAGCCAGCTTAAATTCACACAAGAAAATTCAAAATAATAACACTTAAACTTCAGAAAAGAATACACAGGACTGGAATAAGAAATGCAGTGTTTCCCTCTGCCAAAAAAACCCCAAATAAACAAACAAACAAACAAAAAAAACCCCCACAAAACACCAAAAAAGTTTGCTTGGAATTTGTGATGAACAATTAACAAAAATCTACAAAAATAGGTGAAAAGCCCTAAAAAGTTTTCTCAGATGTGGTAGAAACTTTCCATGAAAAAAGCATGTTCCATAATTAGATTTTGTCAAACAAATGACATTTCTCAGCATGCTTATTCAAAGACCAACACTACAGATAGCAAAGGACTTAGTTTTTAACAGAATTACATGTGTACACACTGTCACAAGAGACAGCTTCCTAATGTTGCTTTATATACACTCTTGCAGATGTCAGCATAAGAGAAGCCATCTGGGCAAAGACTCAGGCCAATTATAATGCATTTCAGGTTTTAATAAAAAGCAGACATCCCTTCCCTTCACCCTCAGTTCTCTGAAGTAAACTGATTTCCCATATGTTCATGAGCTATGCTCTTCCTTTACCAGTCATTCCTAATGAACTTTTCAATTTATACATAAGCAGGGCATTACTCCTACCCCCTTGTATCTGCATTCCCTTATGTTTGTTTCTGGTTCCTGTCAGGAGGGATTTCAGAAGAATCAATCCTTTTTAGTCACTCTTACTGAAAATAAAACCACATACTGTATACCTTGGAATGTTAAAAGAAGTGTCAGATCATATTCTAAGGATTTACATACTTCTTAAATAACTGAGGAAAAATGCAGTCACCATTTTAAAAAGTCAACACTCCTTGGGATTTGCCCAGCAGGAATACAGGAGATACCTGAATGTTTTCTAGGATGTTAGCTCACCACTGACTTCAGCTTATGGTAACCTCATAAATGTTATAAACTGAATTAGAATGAAAAACGCATCATACTTGGAGAACAAGGGTACTCTATCTCTGTATTTTTTCCTAATAAACATGAAGGAAAGTTGAATGGGAATGAATCTTTTAAAGTTTGAAAGTCTCTAAGGAAATATCTTCCTTCATGTAAGTATTTGCTTCTGCGCTGCGCCACTTATAGTAGCTACTGTGGAAGTTCATGCTTAGAGAGATAAATTTCAGGAATATTTAGCTCTTAAAAATTCAGGAATTATAATCTAAAAAATACTCTAAAATACTAATTTTAAAAATGCATTTTATTGAAGTTAGGCCTAAACTTGTGTGGATGTGAGAGACAGTGTATTTGACACATCGCATGGTACGTGCTGCCAGCTCCTACCTAGTTGTTGGCAACACTACTTTCAATTATTTTTTCCAGTGAAGTCAGACCCTTTCAGACTTTAAAAGTTTCTTTTTACTTTTTTAATGCTCCAGAAGATCTGAATATGATCACTATCCACAGATGCGGTCCTGATACAAACAAAACTTTTGAAGCTTGAAAATCAGCCACGGCCAGCTCACAGCTGCCAGTGCTAGCCTGGCTCTAGGGATAATCATGGCCAGTATTCTAACTTAAAAGGAGCTTACATTTTCAATCAAAACAACATATTTTTCTATTGGCAAAGTATATCAACATTTGAAAAGAAATTAAATTTTAAGTCTTGGGCAACCATTTCCAGGCTTTATCAAACCACAGCTGAATTTATCAGTAAATCTGCAAGAACTGTACATACACACATGCTCAATCTCACCTCATTTAGTGGCATATGGTGAGTAGGAATCCTTCATCATGTGGCATGGGATTTTCATTATAAAATAATTTGAAAAATACCACAGAAACACAAATTAACAAATAAGTTTTGGTTTTTTTTCCCTAGATAAATATCTTTTGATAGAAATTTTCTAATCAGTTTTGTTCAGCATCCTTGCTAGAGCTGTGGAGTCATATTCCCAGTTACCAAGGTTGTGCCTTAAAATACAGTTTAGTCTTTTGTGTGTAACACAAGTATTTAAGAATGCTATAAAAATTTACTGCTTTCTATGTAACTTCAGCAAAATGAAGCAACATACACAACTAACTTGTCTGAATACACACAAGCTGCCATTATCGTGCCTTGCTGCAATTACCCACTTCTGAGCTAGTCACCAACTTACATGTGAGGACATGATCTAAGCCAGTTCTTTTCCTCCTAAAGTAAAACTCTGAGAAGGTCAGAAAATCATGTCCTAAAAGTACCTCAAGTACCTTTTTTTAAAAAACCAACTGTAAATAGCCATGGATGACCATCTTAGATTAGACTTGGACAAAGACTATTCATTCACCCAGTTAAAAAAAATTAAAATCTTTATATTCCTTAAAGCAGCATTATCTTAGCATTTCAAAAAGTAGCGTGTCTGTATCCCGACAAACCATTACATGACAGGGAAATATCTCTCCTTATGCTATTTATGGGCATCTGAGGCCCACAGGTTAAGTCTATACTGTACCTTACCCACAGCTATATTTTTGTGAGGAACAAAAACTTGGTGAGACGTCAGGTTACATTCACATATTATCTTCTCTTCTGGGGAAGAATGCCTGGCCCCTTTTAGGAAGGAGTCCAGGCTATCTTGTATCATGATATGTGACACTAGTGCAAGAACAGCAAGAGCACAAGCCAGCAGCTGGGCTGGGCACACAACGCCTGAGCCTGTCCACAGAGAGGTCCAAGCAGTGCCTGAGTACCAGCTGGGTTGCTTCAGAGCCAGCCCAGGAGCTGTTCCAGACAGCCTGGATGACTCGCAAATTTGGCTTGAGACGCAGCTCTGGAGTCACTCATAATAATACTGCCTAAGACTGCACTGCAGACTAAGGCCCAGACAACCAGGAGTATGCAAAGAGCAGAGAGATTTATAAATATAAATTTAGATATGAGGACATCCTTAAATTGCATTTCAGTAAACCCAAAGCACTTTATTGTCTACTGCAGGAGCCATGACTCCTATACATGGTACTGCCCTACAATCCAGCTTCAGAAGCAGCTCTGGAGGTACAGAAACATGATTATGAAAACAGGCATTCCTTCACCCAGTTTTTTAGTTGAGATACTAGGAGCTACCAAATGGAGAAAAAAAGTCCCTTACTTTGCCAAAACAGTAATTGGACAAATAGAAAAAATTTGAGTTCGGAAAGCAAAAAACAAACCTATGTTAAGAGCAATAGCACAGATTCACTTGTAGAAATTAAAGCCTGAATCTAGAGCAGGTGTTAGTGCAAATTCATCCTTTACACACATTAGAATAATTTGGTGCTTTCTATGGGAATTGGTCTCCTCTGAGTCAGCACATCATAAACAGCTTAATAGGCATGAATCAAACATTTCCCTTACCAAAATTTTTTTATACTAATTAATACCTGCATAAGAGATGTATGGGCAAACACTGGTAATTACTTAGTGTTATTCATTCAGCTGTTGAAAACTTTAAGTAAAAAATTCAGCATCTTTCATAATTTAAAAATATTCAAATGAACAAAAGCAAATCAAGGTGGTGATCATTCAAAGGTTGGACTCCTTGATCTTAGAGGTTTTTCCCAACCTAAATGATTCTGTGATTCTGTGACAATATTTTAATCAAACTTAACATAGGAAACCAATGTTTCTAGTCAAAGCAAAATATCTGTCTATGTAACACACTTGCAGCTCTTTCACATAAGTTTTCACCATTCTGGAATTTTGAAAACTACTATGTCTAAATGATCTGGGTCTATTTGCCTGTATGTGCTGAATAAACACAGATATCCATCAACCAGGTATCTGCAGCAGGTTCAGCTACACTCTGCCCTCAGAGTGTTGGGCAGAATGCCTACATCCATGATGGTAAATGCTTTTCAAATATCTGTTTTGATATACCTGTGTATGTATCTATTCATATCCATCATATAAAAATATAGTTAAAATATAATACCTGGATTTCATACATTTGTACATAATTATATATATATACAGAGTAGAGGTGAACAACTACCTAAATATATTCATATTTGTATAAAATGTGAATACAAATGTATAAAACAAACGAATATCTCCAAAATACAGGTAAAGGAAAGTGAATATCCCTGACATGTAGATAACACTTGGAATCTTATGTTAAACTTTTGAGACATCGCTACTTGCAGGTGTTTGACCCAAAGAAGAGAAAGCAAAGGATGATCTATTTGTGCTTCATCCAGTGTTCAATAGGCAGAGAGAAGAGAGTGACAAACTCCCATTTGAGGTATGCAGCAAAAGGAACAGGGGCAACAAGACACAAGTTGCAGCAAGGGAATTTCTGAATAAATCTTAAACACTAGAAGAGATTCCCCAGAGAGACTGTGGCTCTCTCCCTCTGGGGTGGTTTCAGAAGCTGGCTACAAGAGGCTCTGAGCAACCTCAGTTAACTCTGAAAGCAGCTCTGCTGCATCATTAGTGTTCTGGCTTACAGAAGTGAAGAGGGAAAAGGAAGGGTCCTGGCATACTTGCTTCCATATTCTAGAAATGAGGGAAACAAGGGAATCTTGGCAATCCCACCATCGAGTCACTACCGTAAGAGTCCAATGATGCCACCCATTACAAAGCAAAGGTAACTCAGGAACTTGCACAGTGTCACTGTTATTAGACCCTCACTAGAGAGACTGAATTCAAATGCAAAGCTGAACACTACATATGATCTAGGGAATTAAGCCAAACAATTGCTTTTAATTAATGCTGTCAGAAAAAAAGAGACTCCAAAGTGTTGAGGAAGAGTAAGGATATGCAAAACAGTGTCATGATGAGAAGAGTTGCTTCTATATTTAGATTTATCTGGTTCTGGAACAATCTATTTTATATGTGGTTTTTACTGCAGCTTAGCTG